CCCTGAGTCCCTTTGGGAATAGGGCGGCATAGAAATACAATAAAATCGAAAATTGAAATCGAAAAAATATTATTTTTACAAGTTAATCAATGTGACAGAGATATCAATCAATCAGAATAGAGCTGGAAGGGACCTTGTAGGTCTTCTAATTCAACCCTCCTCTAGCAGGAGTCCCCATACCAGTGATGGCTAACCTTTTTCTAAAGGTGTGCCAAAATTGTGTATGTGCATGCTATCATGCATGTATGTGTGCTCACCCACCTGTGCATGCGCACATGCCCCCCTGCGCGAGGGGGAGTTTTTGCCCTCCCCAGCCTCTGGAGGCTTTCCTGAAGCCTGGGAAGAGCGAAAATGGCCTCCTTTGGCTCTCTAGAAGCCCCAAAACCAGCTGGCTGGTCTGTACATGTGCACCGGAACTGAGGACTGCCATGCCAGCAAATATGGCTCTACATGCCACCTGTGGCATGTGTGCCATAGGTTCGCCATCATGGCCCTATACCATTTCAGACAGGTAGCTTTCCAGTCTCTTCTTTAAAACCTTCACTGATGAAGCACCCATAACTTCGGAAGGCAAGCTGTTCCACTGGCTAATTGTTCTCACCGTTGGAAGCTTCTCCTTAATTTCAGGTTGCTTTTTTCCTTGATTAGTTTCCATCCATTGTTTCTTGTCTTGCCTTCAGGAGCTTTGGGAAATAAATTTACCCCCTCCTCTTTGTGGTAACATCTCAAACACTGGAATATTTCTATCATGTGTGTCCCACCCCCCCTGTCCTTCTTTTCTTTAGAATAGCCATACCCAATTCATGTGTTTTAGTCTCCAGGCCTTTAATCATATTAGTTGCTCTTCTCTATGCTTTTTCCAAAATCTCAACATCTTTTTTGTAATGTGGTAACCAGAACTGGATGCAGGATTCCAGGTGTGATCTAATGAAGAATTGTATTAGCTGTTTTGGCTGCTGCCGCACACTGTTGGCTCATGTTTAGGTGATCGTCCACTAGACCACCAAGATCCCTCCTTCCATTACTGTTTTTGAGCCAGGTTTCGACTAATCTGTACTTGTACCTTTGGTTTTTCATGCCTAATTATAAATACTTGCTTTTTTCTACATTAAATTTCATGTTGTTGGATAGCTTTGTTCAAATCTGTCAAGATCTTTTTGAATCCTGAGCTTATCCTCTGTTGGCTATTCCTGTCAACTTAGTGTGATCTACAAATTTGATGAGTTCCACTTCTATTCCATCACCTAAGTTAATATCCAGCACATCATCTTCCTCTCCTATTTTCCCCAGAACAACCACCATGTGAGGTAGATTGGGCTTGAAAGAGAGTGACTGGCCCAAATCACCCAGCTCATGGCTAAGGTAGAATTAGCACTCACAGTCTCCTGCTTTTTAAACTGGTGCCTTAATCATAAAACCTTTGTTTTATTTTCAGTAAATCTCTCCTGCCCAAATAATGCAATCTGAAAAAACCCGAGCGTAACCTACTAAAGTAAAATTTATCAAAGTTGATGTTCCAGCTGATGTACAATACAATAATACAAAACCAGATTTGGAAGGGATCTTGGAGGTCTTCTAGTCCAACCCCCTGCCTAGGCAGGAAACCCTATACCATTTTAGATAAATGGCTATCCAACATTTCCCAAGAATGCCACTATCTGAAAACACTGGACATTAATAAAAAGATTTTTTTAAATGAGAATTACATTTCTCCCTNAGTTGGAAGGGACCTTGGAGGTCTTCTAGTCCAACCCCCTGCCTAGGCAGGAAACCCTATACCGTTTCAGATAAATGGCTATCCAACATCTTCTTAAAGACTTCCAGTGTTGGGGCATTCACAACTTCTGGAGGCAACTTCTGTTCCACTGATTAATTGTTCTAACTAAATAAAACAGTCCTGGGAAATACAAGCTAACATCATTGCTTAGTCCTTCCCCCATTTTACCCACATCATATTTGGGTCAGCCATGGTTGGCTTCCCCTGCCTTTTTAATGCTAACTATCATCCCTATTTGTGACATGCTTGTGCAACAGATGCTGAAAGATGCAGGTGGGAGGGGGAGGGCTGCAAATACTTTGAACAGTGACAACTTCTTAAAATAGCCTGCATGTGTGAATTTCTGTCACTAGCCAGGACCCCCCACCCACCCATTCCCCGGGGGGTGGCGAGGGGTCGAGTTGTCCCCCCCCTCATTTGCATTATTCAACCCAGCCGAGATGCTGAACCGAAAAAAATGGCTCCGTTTGGGAGGAATATCTCCCGTTGTCCCAATTTGAGGGCTGGCTTCGCCCCTCCCCAACCAGGAAGGCAGCTGCGCGCCCCCTCGCCCACCTCACCCATTGCAAAACATTAGAGGGAGCCCCTGGCCTTTAGGGGAAGGGAAGGAGAAAGGACAGGCCCCTCCTGGGGTCGACTTCACTTCCCCCCTCACCATCTGGCTGGACGGTGGAATTTTGTAATTTGCTCCTGGTGTGTGTGTGTGTGTGTGTAAAAATGGAGAAAAAAAAGGGGGGGGGAGGCAGAAGAAACCAGAATTCGGCACCTGGCATGAGGAATCTGTTAGCCTTGAACTTCTGGTGTTATGGTGACAGGTTTAAATATGATTGCTTCAGAGTTAAGCTCTTTTCACTCTGTGCGAAAATCAGACCTTGAGTCCATCATTCAGGTTTTTTGGGGCACTTAAAAGAAAAAAACGAAAACCGTCTCCTGTTTTGCTGCTTCCTCTGTCTGGAACCGGTTGTCCTGAAGCTACGAAAGTTTCTCTCTCTTCCTCTTCCTCCCTCCCCAGCCTCCCCCCC